CCCCTCCCTTGCAACACCCCCTACCCCAAAACACAACCCTGCCCATTACCCCGCTTCGTGCTCAAATCCCCCAGCAACTGCACCCCTCACCAAGTGGCATCGACACACCCTCCTAAATCCCTTCCCCCACCCAAACCCCCCACGCCCAAAACACAACCCCGCCCCTTATTCCGCGTCGGGCCCGAATCCCCCAACACCTATTGACTTATTGCGAGGGCGCGGGTGCGCAGCCCGTAGTTCGTTTGTTTATGTGGTTCACGAAGGGTACGGTAGTGATTATGCTGTATGTATGTTTTGTCATCTTCGCTATACACAACTTGAAGAGAGTGTGTGTGGGGGGTCCCGGTTGGTGCTTTATTCACGATGTTCATGGGACGCTGGACCCAATTTCCAGCAGGTGGCGCTCCCCATCAATAGATAGGAGAATGTATGTGCGTGTGTATGTGAGTGTGTGTAATATGATACTAAACCCCCAAGAGTATGGCCATGGCAGGTTGCAAAGCTCTGCTCGATGCAATTCGGGCTCAAAGAAGAAAGGGATCATCAACTATTTTTATGGTATTTACTTCCATAAAAGGCAAGCGAGGGAGAAAAAAATCCGGGCGAATCCTCGTCATAGCACACAGTGCCTACCATCCATACACTTCAACGACAAGTATGTTTTCAGAAATACATCTGCACACACAATCAACAGATGCTACGATCATAACAGGGGTCTGAGGGGTGCCCAGACAATTCAAAAGAAGGGGGAGAATGGACAGGTACTGGGCAGGAGGATGCATCACAGATTCGAGAAAAAGAGCGCGAGAGGCGGCAGTAACCTCCTCCACAATACACCCCATCTCTCTCGCCCTCGTCGTGTTCTGCTCCAACGCAAGCCGATATGCCGTGGCACACCCCGATAACATCAATCTCAGTCGCTCCTCCTCAAGCACGTCCTTGAGGTCCATATCTAGCCTCCTGGCAACATCTCGATCCGGCAACAGAGGCATGACGTCGTCACCAAGCTTGCCCTCCTCTCTCTTGCCTGTTGCTCAAGCAGCCTCTCTCAACATCCCCGAACTTGCACCACCAAAAACCGACCCTATGTGGTGTGCGACATCGCTGGCCGGTGTCCGAACGCACACCCCACCGTGCTTGGAATCTGAAGTGGGTGGACCTCCAACGTCAAACTCGTCCCCAAATATGCCAGAGGGAATCGATCCCTGTGGTACATCTAAACCACATCCCTACCCGCCTATAACGCGCCCACCCACTGCATCGGGGCCAGGAGTAACAAGGCAAGCGCCACCCGCCCCGTCGTCATAGGGCCCACCGCCGTCGCCGTCGTCAAACCCATGCTCGTCTGCAGGATCGGGGTGCTCCCAATCGGTGCCTGCCCCGTGAACGTGACCGGCACCGTTCACATGTCTGCGACCGGCCGGTCACCGGGCCTAAAATTCATGAACGGCCGTTCGCGGGGGCTGTTCACGGGTTTTCCGCCCATAGGGATGGCGGTACAGTCGGGATGGGGGCGGCAGGGGGGTGGTG